CTGCAGGAGACCAGGGTCGCTGGGATTCTCTCATCAGGATAAGTTGACCACAAGATGAATCCACAAACTATGGAGCTCTGTAAGGACTCTGTTAGAATACATACATGTATATTTATCGCTGCCCTTAAATACAATTAAAATGGGTTTCAATTGTGGATGGTAACAATGAAATGACATTGAAGTAATGTTTTTTTGTGTTCACTCACAGTAGAGATATAGTACATGGGTATTCGTCAAATGACGTCACACAAAAGTGACAGGAGCCACGCCCCCTTTAAGGCGGGACTTCCGGTCAAGCTCGACTTCCGGTCCCCCTCCCTCCTTCCCGCTCTTCAGTTCGTCTTTTCATTTACCGTAACCCTAACCCTTGACCACAAACATCCTGTTTTGAACAGATGTTAGGCTGTTGCAAAAGTTTGACCTGTCAAAGTGTAAAACGTTTTCTTCAAACTGATCCATCGTCCAATCAGCTCGTTTTAGGCATCTGATCCCACCCCTCTGCCAATCARCTCCTGTTTTAAGCATCAGATCCCACCCCTCCTCGGTTCGTGATACGTTTAAAAGAACGTGTCTCAGTCTGTCAGTACTTCCATCAGCGAGAAGACCCCCGTTGTGTTCAGCACCGTTGCACGTCAGCAGCAGCAGAAGCGAAATTTACGGGTTCGTAATTGTTTTATTATGTTTTATTCTGTTAAATGTATTTATATATATTTTTAAATGTACTCTGTCTGTCTGTTCTTTCATCAGCRAGAAAAAGACTTCCATTGTGTTCAGCAGCGTTGCGCATCAACAGCAGAAGCGGAGTTTATGCATAAACTAAATTTACAGGTTCTTAATTGTTTTATTCAGTGTTATTCTGTTTAATATATATATATATATTAAATGTACTCTGTCTGTCTGTACTTCCATCAGTGAGCGATAAGACCTCCCGCTGTGTTCCTGCTGCGTTGCGCATCAACAGCAGAAGCAGAGTTTTTGCATAAACTAAATTTACAGGTTCGTAATTGTTTTATTCAATGTTATAATGTTTTTATGTATTATTATTTCACATGATGCGATTTGATGCGGGCCCGCACAGTTATCTGTCAAGAAGAACTGGAACAAGAAGTGAGTATTTTTTATATTTTTCAACGTTTCACTGACATGCACGCACGTGTCTTTTATTAGGAAAGTTATTTTTATTTATTTATTTTATTTAATTTTAGATCATTCGACCACCATCAATGAATTGAGGAGTCACTGCCTTCTGACCATCCTGCATTTAACAGAACTCTGCATAAGATTGTTTGGGAAAAAATAGCTGATAAAATGTCTAGTTTGTCAAATCATACTGATCATACTGAAATAAATTATTTTCATGTGTTAGAACAGGCATTACAAAATCTTATTCAGCAGAACTCTCCATCAACCTCAGAAGCTAATGACATTTCTGTTCTGAGTCAATCATTACAAAATGTTTTAAACAACGCTGAGCAGAATTCACCCCCTGGTTCGCCAAAACAGACAGAAAGTCGAATCCAAGCATTACGTAACGAAATTGCGGGACAGCAACAACAACAACAACAACAGTCTGATCAGGACCGCTTAGAAACTCTTCAAATTCACAGCACAAATCTGGACCAGACTCCAATCGGTCTACTTGTTAACGCTTTAAATAATTCATTATCTGAACTTAGAAACACTGCCGCTGCTGCTGCTGATGAAAGCGCTCAAATTAGCACACCCGACACGGGTCAATCAACGCACCCTGATTTATTTAGTATTTTAGATGATGCGTTATTAGCATTAAGAATCGCGTGCTCCCCAGAACAAAACCATGAACAAGACCCAGGTATCCACCCGCAAAACACTGCCACAGTTCAGTACGATGCCGAGGCGTCATCTCCCGAATCAATGCAACCCCCTGATCTTTCCCCGCGCCCTGTCTCCTCTCCAACTCCGGAGGCTGCATCATCAAACTCGGTTCCTCACAGCCACAGCGCAATCCAGTACGGTGCGGGGATTCACGCTACTTCACCTCCCTCCTCCTCCTCCTCTCCCACTCCAGGACCTTCAACCGGTCCGGATCAAAATGAAAGATCTCGTGAAAGATTTAATAATTACAAAATCAGGAGACGACTCCTCATTCCCCAGTCTGACGATCCTCCGAGTCTTCGAGAACGTATATCTGTATTATGTTTTTTTTATGTTAAATGTATTTATATATTTTTTAAATGTACTCTGTCTGTCTGTCCTTCCATCAGTGAGCGATAAGACCTCCCGTTGTGTTCCAGCACCGTTGCACGTCAACAACAGAAGTAAAATTAACAGGTTCATAATTGTTTTATTATGTTTTATTATGTTTAACGTATTTATATATTTTTTAAATGTACTCTGTCCGTACTTCCATCAGTGAGCGATAAGACCTCCCGTTGTGTTCAGCAGCGTTGCGCATCAACAGCAGAAGCGGAGTTTTTGCGTAAATTAAATTTACAGGTTCGTAATTGTTTTATTCAGTGTTATAATGTTTTTATGTATTTTTATTTCACATGATGCGAATTGATTTTAAACCCTTTGTTAAATCTCTATTATCTCTATAACTTAAATTCAACATACAGCAAAAATACTGATCATAAATTAAATGAAAGGTAGCAGAAGAAGATAAAATCTTATTTTATCAGCCCCTTTTTTCTCAAATAACTAATCTCAATCAAAAATAATCTTTAGTTTACTAAAAAAAAGAAAAATAATAAAAGGTGTAACGCTTTGAACAACAATTCATACATTTACATATTTCTCCAGCAAATTATTACTGTATTTATCATTCTCTTAAATATACTCATTGATCTGGCATTTTTAATGTCATGTTCCAGA